ATCAGAAAACCCTTTTGAAGACTTGCTCTGAGAGCTCAGTACTAGAGCTGCCTCAAATTCTTTATGAAAATGAGAAAGCGCAAAAGAAAAAAAAGAGGAGGGAAGAGAAAGAAAATATGAGATCTGCCACTTCAGATATATTGATGTTTCTTCCTCTCTAGAATAATCATTCGTGTTCAACAAAAATGTACTGAGTACCAACTACAAACTAGGCGCTGTCTGTGACACTTGGGATATATCAAACAAAGATGCCTGCCCATGTGGTCCTTGTATTCTCGTGGAAGAAGATAGATGACTAAACAGTGGACACAGTAAGTAGATATATGAATTAATTTGTAAATTAGTTTATTAATATAGAATGCATTATCAAAACTTATAGATTATATAAGGCACATAATATACAAACTATATAATATAGTTTAGAAATTATCCAATATGTTAGAAGGTAAAATGTGCCATCGTAAAAGATAAAGAGCTTAGGACTGCTGGAGGGAGGAGAAAGTGGCAGACTCCAGTATTAATTAAGGACAGTGGTCAGGGCAGGTCTCATTGAGAAAGTGAAGCTGGAGCAAAGACTTGAAGGACGTGAGGGCATTAGTTCTATGTGACTGTTTCCCTTTCCTTTGGGCACCCAAGAAGATCAGAATCAAATTGGACGCTCAGTCCTCTAGAGCAGCAACCTTTCTGACACCAGGGACGGGTGCTCCTATGAGAATCTAATGCCCGATGACCCGGGGTGTGGCCAAGGTGGTGATGCTAGCGCTGGGGAGCGGCTGCAAATACAGATGAAGCTTCAGTTGCTCGACAGCCACTCACCTCCTGCTGTGTGGCCCAGTTCCTAACAGGCAACGGACGGGTACCAGTCTATGGCCCGGGGGTTGGGGACCCCTGCTCTAGAGGCCCCCATGGTCTGCAAATTTGTGGTCTTTTGTCTGCTGGAGAGGCAGGACAGGACGGTAGTTAAGGGCACGAGTTCCATTGGATTCACGAATTAAACTGGATTCAAATACTGGCTATACTGCTTACTACCTATGTGACTTTGGGCATCATATTTGATCTCTCTAAGCCTCAGTTCCCTATACCTCAAAATAAAGATAATAATAGCATCTACCTTATAGAGCTCTTTTAAGTATTAAATGGAATAATGTACATACATTCCTTTGCACACAAGAACTCACTAAAAATAGCCTGTAATTATTAAGCCTTGGTCTTGTCTCTCAAATTTTATTTACATTTTTCCTTGGTCCTGATTCGCTATCCTTATTGATATTTGAACATTGTGGTATGGTTTCTGCTCCTGTGGTAAGTTACCACAAATCCTTTGTGGATTGGGCTGGGTTATAAATAAGCAAGTAAATAAATACAAAATCCAGATAGGGGAACATTTTTACCGAAGCAAAACATTTCATTACCAATAGAGTGAATTGCAAGTGAGGCCAAAAGCAAAAGAAATGGACTCTAATCTCCCCATCGAAAACCACCAGCAAGATAGTCTCCGGTTACCAGACCTCATCTTTCTCTTTCCCAAACTCCTCTTCCTCCCTCCATCAAGAGAGAGTAAATGAGTCACACAAAATGACCCAATAAGCCTAAATTCTCCCAGCCCCACAACTATGCCATTGCTATGGGTTTCAGAGAACTCTCTCTCTCTCTTCCCCAACAGAGAAGAGAAAGGAACTCCACAGCATTGCTTTCCATGGTGACGAGGTTAGGGAAGGGGGTTAGCACTCAGTGCAGAGTCACAAATAGGTTGGAATCTTATTACTGCCATTAATTAGTGAGCGCTGTGGCCATGGAGAAGTCCCTGCACCTCTCTGGGCCCCAGTTTCCTTATTGATAATAACAGTACCTACCTCCTAAGGTACTTGTGCAGATGAAGGGAAAAAATGAAGGGAAGCAACATGGATGGCTTATTGGTAAAGCTCCCAATAAATGTTAGGCTTTCCTTCCTTACCTGCACCCAGGGCAACACTCAACCGACTATGAGAACTGGAAACTCTTAAATAAGGGGGTGTACAGGGCAGTCACGGGGTGAAAAAGACTAGTTTATGTATATCCGTACATTATAGAAACTCCCTGTAAGAAGTAAGGAGGAAAGATCATTTTCGAACCCCTCTCACTTTTTAGGAATATCATCATGTTTCTTCCTCATCATAACCCACATCTGACAGCTGGGGCAGGCTTGAACCCAGAGCACCCAGCTAGGAATATTTGGGAGGCAGCTCTGGCCTTCTGAAACCGACTTTATGAAGGTCAAGGCCATCTTCCACCACGGGACATCATAGGCACCATAGACAGAAACCTACAAGTTCCCAGTCCTTCTGAAGTGCCATGCCTCTGTGACTCCTTGGCTGAGTTCAGCAAGAATCCAGACCAGGGTGACTTTGCTGAGGCTGCCTAAGCCCCTCTCCCCACCTCCCTGAGCCCCCAGGACCCTCCCTGTTAAAACATCTCTACTCTCTATAAGATCTGGAATTAGTTGGTCTGAATTTGAAACACACATCCCTTACACATATCAACTAGAGGACCTCAATTAAGTCACTTAGTCTTTCTGGTTCCTCTCCTGAAAATGGAGATATCAAATGCCTACCTCCCAAAGTTGCCATGAAGATTAAATAGAGCAGTGCACTGAGAACATACAAAACGGTGCCCAGCACATAGTAAGTACTAGTTTCTGGTGGCTGGGATTGTCGCACTGAAACCGTCTGGAGAAAATCAGCCTTACGCTGACCCACAGAGATTGAAGCTCTCACAGAGAGGGAGTGTGTCCTTGAACACTAGCTGACATGTCTACCCGCATTTCCACAGGTCAAGCCTCATGGCCTGGTTATCTGGCATTTGATCCTTCCCCTCACCCCACAGGAAACTACTTGGAGATAATAAAATAGCTGGGATCTGTGCCCCTCCTAGGAAATAAGACTAATCCAGCCCAGGCCAGGACCACCTATTCACTGCTCTTGATCAACAAATTTGTGCTGCTAGTCCCTTCTGTGCTGGGAACTAGGGAGAGAGGAGACCCAGCCCTATCCCAGAAGTTCATAGTGTACTTGGGAAAAAAGACAAAGAACTGATATTACAGCAACTAGAAAGGAATGAGGGCCTAGTGTCCCTGAGAAGATGAGGGAAGACTCCATGAAGGAATTATTTAAACTGGTCCTTAGAAATTAAGTAAGACATGGGGGGATGGCATTCCAGGCTGAACGCAGCATGAACAGAGGCTAGAAATGGAAAAATATGGGGTTTGTTTAGAGAATAGAGTAGTCTGGTGAGGCTGGAGGACTTGGATGCCAGAGGACTGAGATGAGAGCTGGCAGCGAAGGGCCAGTGAGCCTCAGGGGCAGGGAACACAAAATAAAGATCGTGACTACCATGGAGAAAATCGGGGAAGTGGGCCCGCAATTTAAAATGGGAGGGGGGGGGTCACAGAAGGCCTCTTTGAGGTGACACGTTTAAGAGGTTAAAAAACAAGCCAAGTGGCTATCTGGGGGCAGTTTTCAGGCAGAGAAAACAGCAGTGCAAAAGTCCTGAGGCCACAGGATGATCGCCACGTCGGTGACGCATTAAAAAGGACAGTGTGACTGAAGTGGTAAGAAATGAAGTTAGCAACTGAAAAGGGGGTCAGCTCATGAGAGGCCTTGTAGGCTGTTAGTGAGACTTGAGCTTTCACTTGGACGAAATGGAGAGCCATTGCAGGATTTCTAGTAAAGAAGCAACGTGATCTGACTTACTTTTTAAAAGGATCGCTCTGACTGCTGTGTAGAGAATCAATTGCAAGGAGCCAAGGGTGGAAGCAGGGAGAACAGTAAGGAAGCTACTGGCGAAAACCAGGCGAAAGAGGATGGTGGCTGGAACCAGGGTGGTAGCTGCGTGGTGGTGCTCTTCGGTTTCCTCAGGTAAAAATAAGAGCTAGGACCCTGCCCTGTGTGCAGCCCAACGCTTCAAAAAACCCTATCGGGATGGAATGTCAGGAACCTCCAGCCAACGGGGTGCCAGCCTGGAGAACGTGGGATGGTGGGCATCTTTGTGCGTCCGGGCCCCTGACATCCACGAGAATGCCCAGGTACGTGCGCGCCCCGCGACGCATCAAAAGGGCGAAGCCCGGCAGACGGATGTCTTGGTCCCCAGAGACTGAACAGGGAAGGATGGGAAGAAGGGTGCCTCCCTCCACCCCAGGGGCAGGTCATGGGCACCTGGCACTGCGTGCGCCCCCGGATGTAACCACTCCACTTGTGCAGGTGTGGGTATCATGAGAGCATCACTCGGGGAGCGCCACAGCACCCCCTCTATCCAACCGCTCCCCTCCAACTCTGACCCTATTGTCTCGCTTTTCCGTACCCCCATTTGTCTGCCTGTCCGTCCTGCATAGGGTTCGGCGCGCACCGCCTCGCCGGAATCCCTCTGGCGGTCGCCGTACTGGCGCCGCCCGGGCCTGGGGCTCCCGAGAGGAAAAAAATCATGAATGAAACGGATGCGGTGCTGCGGTTCCCCCGCCCTCCCTGACCAGGCAACCTCTGCGCGGGGGCGGTGCCTGCGGGGACTCCAGGAGGAGTTGGGGGAGGGGGCGCCCGAGATCTTGGTCAGGGATTCATGGTCTGCGACCCGGACCCACTCGAGCCCTCAGCGCTGCAGGAGCTGCCAGCCCCCCGCCCGCCAGCCCTGCTGGCCTTGGGCAATTCCCGGGGAGCGGCGCAAGCCCTCCCGGAGGCGGGGCGGAGCCGGGGTTGGGGGGTGTCGAACCCACCCGGCGGCTGCGCCCACGACTCCGCAGCTAAGGCGCATTTGGTTGGGCGGTCCGGCGAAGGAGCGCGCACGGAGCGCGGGACAGACCGCCGGGCGGACAGACCGACGGACGGACGCCCCCGCACACGCAGACGCACAGAGCTCAGCCCGGCCCC